CATAGTTCTTAATATTTTAAAATAATTATTTATTTAATTTTATTTATTCATTTGTTTATTTTAATTTAACCAGACAGAGACATGCACACACACATACATACACATACACACATACACACACACACACACACACAGAGAGAGAGAGAGAGAGATAGGTGAGAAATCAAGCCACCAGGTCTGGGACTCAAATCATGGTCGGTCATGTAGGACTGTCCAGCATCTTAACCACCACACCACCTTCTGATCCCCATAGTTATCAATTTTGAACTATCGTGAAAACAACTTATACTAATTCACTTGGTATGGTATGGATTTAATGAAAATGTCAATATACTTAAAAGACTTTGGGCATTCTGAAGTTTATATTAATTTAGATGGAATAGTCTATGCATATTTTCCCAGGATAATTCAGGATATGGAATTTAATTTCCTCTTCTTACTGCTTTTCTAACAGTTCTTCCCATGGATGGGTGAGGCAGAGAAGGCTAGTAGATGCCCGGAGGTTATTGCAGAGCCAATAATCAAGTCATTTTTTGTAAGCAGATGTGGGCACGTCCATGCTCCCCACAAAGTAAGAGTGGATGGGATGTAAATTTTTAAGAAATGGATGTGTCTTCACTGGATCTTCTCTTTCTACTAATGTAGTGCACGTGAATGTGGTACTGCGGGAGATGGTGAGTCATAAGTGGAAGTAGCCTAATCAACATGTGGAGGAGAGTTCTCTGCCTTCTGGAGGAGAGCTTTCCACAGAGGTGCTGCATTCATTTTGGACTTTACAGGAGTGAGTAATATATACTTGTAATATTTGGACCATTTAAATTTGAGGGGTTTGTTTATGATTTAATAAAATAGTACTTCAATTAATATGCATATTACAACCTTGAACAGCATTTTTCTTTTTCCTCTGAGAAACAATTAAGATATTTAGCATTGGTTTAATAGTCAGTAGATGACAAGAAAATACATAATAAAGGCTGGAAAGATGGAGATCTATATTATGCAGTGACAAGTAACTTCTTAAAATGTAATCACTTGGGAGTCAAGCTACTCCTTAGAGGTCCACTGTTCTAAGGATACAGACACCTGATTATGTGCTGATTGCTTCTTACTGCATAGAACAAGTATCACAAAGCAAAACAAAGAGTATAGAAAGAATTAGTAGTTTGAAAGCAGAAATAAAAAGGGGTAGAAAGATGCTAGAAATTGTGGTTCTTTGAAAACCGTCTATTACTACACCCTAAACAGCAAGAAATGAAACAAAAAAAGCTTTGAGAAACAAATAATTAGTAAGATTTTCTAGGTAAACAACCCTGGACAAAAACCAGAGTAGTGATGGTTGTTTCTCAATCAAGCATAAAGTATTAAATGGATACTTAAAAGTATCAAGGTAGATACCACTGACTGAGATAGAATGCCATGGTAGAAAGGAAGTAAAGAAATGGGGGAGGTTTAAAAATTATACCCAAGAAAGAAATTTGGCATGGGAACCAGCATATGGAAGTGACTGGAAAAAAATCTACTAAACCTTTAAGAAATTCTAATTGTCAAAGCCCCCATGAAACTGGCTAGGAAAAAAAAAAGATGAAGAACAAAATAAAGCAAAAATGTGACTGTACAACCACCTTTTGATGCCCAAACTCATACCAGCAGAAAGCAGATTCTACAGGTTGCACAGGATCCAGGGACAGCACGCTCAATACTCACAGAAGCTACAGGACAAGGAAAAGTGTCCCAGGGCTGGAGTGAGTGGTGAGAAACAACAAAGGGCGAAAGAGTTCCCACCAGAGATCAAGGTGATAGTCTAATCTGGATTTATTCTCTATTGGCATGAGTGATGTAACAATGTCTATGTAGTTAACTGGAGTCACTGGTTTCCAGTAGTAGTAATACTTAGTTACTGGTTTCTAGAAGTAGTAATATGTCTATTATATATTGAGAGAGAGGTGACAAGGAAGAATGTGTGGCAAGTAGACATTAATTTTTCTATTCATTTATAAGAGCTATCTAGACCTGATGAAGAAAGCTGCATTTTACCAGAATATCTTGAATGTTAGCCAGGATGAAATGTTTTGATGAGATTTAATGGTCTTCCTTGAGAAGGGTTTCATTATGTCTTATGTGTGAAAAAAGATGCCCAGAAAGGTGAACTTATCTGAAAGAATTCAAGTATCCTCCCATTAAAATCATCTCTCCTGGGACCAGTAGTTGGCATAATGGACATACGACTGGACTCCTATGTAGTCAACTGTGATTAGAGTCCTGGACTCGGTGGCTTAAACTCATGCTGGGTGCATGTGTATGTGTGCCCAAGATCCTGAGAGGAGAATGGAGGAGAAGGGATTGTGGCACGGCCATCCCCCCTTGGGGGGTGATTTCTCACTTTCTGTCTCTCTCTCTCTTTGTCCTTCATGCAAGCGTATGTGCCCATAAAATAAGCTCTCCTTCCTCGATGTGAAATTGTTACTAAGAGTTAGTGTCCCAGGTAGCAATTACTTTCCCCAATTTGACATTATACTTTTCAACCAAAATTTTGAAAAAAAGCAGGTATGCCTTTTTCACTGGCTTTTTATTTTTTTTTAACCTTCTGCGAACTTGATATAGAGGAGCATGCCATGCTTAGAAACCACCTATTGAAAATGACAGAACCACAAATGGAAGGAGTCTGTGTCCTTGAATTACCATTTGAAGGAAATCCTGCAATCAGTCAGCAATACCTTTTGGTCTTTACAGGAGCAAGAAATAAAACCTTAATATATTTGAGCTATGTTTACATTGGTTTGTTACAGTTGACTAACACTAAATAAACTGGGCCTCACTGTGAAGATGCACAGTGATTAAATATAAATTTTTAAAAAATAAGTAAAAAGAAAAAAAAGAAACTGGGCATAATTTTGTGCTTATTTTTTATTACATTGCAATAGAGAAAGATACAGGGAAAATATTGCAGATAAATACTTGGATAACATTTAGGTAGGTAAAACACAGCTGGAGGAAAGTCTCAGTGGCCCTATTCTGTCGGACTTGAATGACATGCTTTGCAGTTATGTTGCAGTCATCTGACTGAAGACCTAGAAAGTCAAGTTTGCAAGATCTATTAGCATTTACAACAAAGTGACTACAAGACAGAGATTAAAATTTCATTTTTAGGTGAGACATCAATATACTTAAATTTAAAATAGGAGTAAAATAAGGAAATTACTGTCTTTATCTCGAACCAAATGACTAAGTACAGGATGAGTAAGATATGACTCAATAGCAGTGTATATAAAATATCCTAAGGTTTGCACTGTCTACATACTTAATACAAATAAAAAATGTGATGATGTTCCTGGGGGAAAAATGCAAACCCTGAGATCTTCTATATTATATATAATATAACATGATATATATATATATGTGTGTATATGTGTGTGTATATATATATGTATGTGTGTATGTGTGTGTGTATGTGTATATATATATATATATATATATATATACACATACATACATACATATTAGGTTTTTGCCATATGATGCATGCACTTATCAGAGAGAGATAGTGAGAGGGAAAATGAGAAATCATCCAGGGAGGATGGCCATGCCACTATTCTTTCTCCATTCTCTTTCTGGGATATTGCATGTGCAAGCAAATGCGCCTGGTATAATTTTCAAGTCACCAGGTCCAGGACTTGGACTATGCCCTTCAAGTAGGAGTTAGATTCCTGAAAGTTCATTTATTTATTTGAAGGAGAGAGAGACAGAGAAAGAGAGAGAGTGAGAGAGACCTCTGACAGGGTGTTGCTATGTTGCGGTCCTTCACTTTACCGCTGTCTAGACTTGCAGCCAGGTAGGCCTGTAGGCATCACTGGCCTGTTTGGGTCAATGCAGGAACTGAACTGTGAACCTTCCATATGGCTCCAGTATTATGCAGCAGTGATCTAATTACTGTCTGAGCCATTGTGGCTAGGCTTCTACTGATTATTTATCTCTACGTCATCTCTGTTGCTGAAAGAGGTATATTACATTTTTAATTTTGATAGTGGATTTATCAGTTTCTATTTGTAGTTCCATCGATTTTTGCTTTAAATTCAGTTGATTTTCATTGCTCTTATTGATTATGTTCTATAAAGTCACCAGGAACATTGACTTAGTGAATACTGAACCATTACTAGTAGGGAAATATATTGGGGATTAAATTTCTACAAGACTCTGGTAACGTTTTTATCAACTGATTAATACGTAACTATTTTATGTGTGTTTCTGTTTAAATACACCTTGTTTAATATACACATACTCATCAACACTGAACTGATGGCCAACAGTACTGTAACTTATGCTGTATGAAGCTTACCTAGCATGTATTTTTTTCCATTAGGTGCATCATGGCCTTCTAGTGCTTATGAATACTAGACAAAACTTCAGTTCTACATTTGGGGTACATTTTAAATGGTAAAATCACCAACAACAATCACACACACACAAAAATCCTAAAGATGTGGCATTAAATAGGCTGGGAAAAGTAACCTGTTTACAGTATAAGAACAAAACAAGAATGCAGAGAATTGCCTTTTTCAGCCTCAGCTGGGAATGTGCACTGAGGAAGCTCAAATTTTGTGCTGCTTTGTGCATGTCTGTGAATGACTGTGGAAACGCTGTGAGTTCTGCTTCAGGAGTTGCAAATACATCTTAGTGAATGGATAAACTTGCAAATGTGAAATCTACGAATGATGAGGATTGACTGCATTCGAAACAGTTAATAGGGCCATGTAGGTTTAGAGTTGTTCTACCTTTCCAGTGCATTTAAGCGCTTATAAGTAGGAGGTGACTCTCTTACCTCTAGTAATTAATTTTCTTTAAAGTTCATTGTATTTGATATAAATTTTGTCATGTCAGCTTTCTTTTGAGTGTCATATACCATCTTTTTAAGTCAATTTCTCTAAATTTTTATTTTGTTTCTTTATTTGATAAATACACATATAATATAGCATTCCTAACACTTTTTATGTTGTACAGTAAAAAAAAATATGAAACATTTCAGAGATTTTAATCTCATTTTGTACAGGAATTATGACAATCTTCTCTGGATCATTCCAAATTTAGTGTATGTAGTGCCAAAGCAAGCATTGTATTTGTTTTTCAGTTTGTTTGTTTGTTAGAGAGATTTTTGCTCTAGGGCAAGTGCTCTTGTCAGATAAACAGAGAGAGAGAAAAAGAGAAAGAGAGTGACAATCGCCCACCAGGGGATATTGCCATGCCACAATCCCTTCTCCTCTATTTCCTTCTCTGAATTTTGGGCATGCATGCACACATATCCAGCGTGAGGTTTAAGTCATCAGTCTGGGACTTAAAACATGATCGATTATGTGGGAGTCCAGCAGCTGGTCCCAGGCACCAATATTTGAACACTAATTACATTAAACTTCTTAACTCCAAGAATATTTGCTTTATTATTATTATTTATTTATTTTATTTTTTTGGAGAGGTTTTTGCTATAGGGCACGTGCGCTCGCCAGACAGACAGAGAGAGACAGAGACACAGAAAGTGAGAAATCACCCCCCAGTGGGGGTGGTCACACCGCAATCCCTTCTCCTCCATTCTCCTCTCGGGATCTTGGACATGCACGCACACGCGCCCGGTGTGAGTTTTAAGCCACCGGGTCCGGGACGCAAACCGCGGTCGACTACGTGGGAGTCCAGCGACATAGCCATTATGCTAACTGCTGGTTCCCACTTTATTATTTTTGATGAAGAGTGTGATGATTATTTTTTCTGACTGGAGTAAATAATTGACTAGTGCAATTATTCAGCATGCAGACTTCAAGGAACCACCCTCAACTTGGGCTGTTCTTCCATTTTCATGGGTTTTCTAGGCCATTATGGGCGTAGCATCTCACTTCTCCAATTTACCTCCATATCTCCTGGATTACAGCTTCCTGCCACCTGTTTTATCTGTCGATGTACTCTTATCTCCTGATTTCCCTGTTTTCTCTGCTTCAGTGTAATAGGTTGGTTCCTTTTGGTTTTGTAATTATTTTTTGTTTGTTTGTTTTATAGAACAATTTAGTCCTCAATCTTGAATTGGAGACTGAATATTTATTGAAAATAAACTTTGTTTTTTATCTGATTACACAAGTAATAAAGTACATTTTAACAACTTTAGACTACAGAAAAATTATGCAGAAATTTAGAACTCCACCTACAATCTTGTAACCTGGAGATAACCATTGTCAATACTTGCATATTTTCTCTAATATCCCTGAGATACAATACATATTTCAAGGTGTCTTGGTGAGCCAGAGCTCAGATTCTGAGAATACGTTGACATATATACTGACTGGTTTAAAATGTTATGTTCACAGGGGCCTGCAGATAGCACTGCAGTTATGTAACTGAACTCCTACATGGCGGACAGTGGTTCGAATCCCTGACCCGGTGGCTTTAAAATCATGCCCAGCACGTGTGCATGTGTGCCTGAGATTCCAGGAGGAAACTGGAGATGGGATCGTGGTGCGCCCATTCCCTTGGGGGTGATTTCTCACTTTCTATCTAACTGTCTCTGTCTTGCTCACTCTCCGGTGAGTGCAAGTGCCATAAGGCAAAAACCTGTTTAAGAAAACAATTAGGTTCACCAATAGCTTGGTATTACCTTGGGCAAGTGTCTTTGAGAGTGCCAGGAACTAAGTACACACTGTAGAGATGCTAATAATTTTTATTCCCTCTACTCCCGTGATTTCAAATGGGAGCTACTATCTAAATATGGATTTTTCCTACATTGTCATAGTAATTATTCCAGGCACGGACCCTTTAACTAAGGGAGAACAGTCAAGTGGGTGCTGAACTATGAGAATAAAGTGACCAGAAGAGGTGACAAGAGAGAGTCTTAAGGTTTTTACAATCCTGGTTCCAATTCTCTTCTCTTGGACTCTGTTTTTGTAGCTTATGTTTTTGTGGCCCTGTTAGTAAGCCAAATCTTCCTTTCGCTTCTGCTACTCTAGAATTCTTTTCAAAGCCGAACCAGAGTCTTGAGGACTAGATATTTATTTTCCTAGGTATTAATTTATTTATAAACTTTCCTAGATGTTAATGTAACAGGGGCACACATTTAATTAACAAACATTACCATTGCAAACATTGAACACTTTACACATACATCATCTCCATTTAATAATCAAGGGTACTGAGATTCAGAGAGGGTAAGAAGCTTTATTCCAAAGTAGACTTACCTACCAGGCCTGCTGATCTGTCCCAGTCACTTAGATCATCTTCCAATTGGCCATGTGCAAAGAGAATGTAAATGCCTTTGGTAGAATGTACGCATTGCAGAATCTTCTGAACCAATGCTAGCCCCTTTGCCACGTGTGTCTCTCTCTCTTACATGAGGTGACATGTTCTCTCTGGGAGTTTTCCCCCATGTAGGACTTTAATTCAGAAGTGAATCCCGAAATAAAGAAGTGTGTAAAGGGTAGGGGCAGCTCCCTATCAGACCATCTCAGATATACAATGTATAATAGTTCCAAAGCTGATCAGTGACTTCTCCAACCTAGATTTTACCTTTCCTCTACTTCTATGAGAAGGTAAGTTTTATATGCTGGGGTACATAATTAGTAAGGAAAAACAATTTTGGTAAAATATTATCACCCTTACTTTAATATGGCTATTCCAGTTTTCTATGCATACATTTTTATCTAGATAATTTTGTTCATCTTCTGATTTTTCTAGTTTTCTGTCAGTTTGATTTAGTAATTTTTGTAAAAAAAAAAACTTTATTTTAAGGCCTTTAAAAACCCAAGGTTAGGTTTTTTATTCTTTATTCTTAAGAATTAAAAACCTATGTTTGGTATATTTAATTGCCACACACACACACATATACATATTTAATTTTTCTTTAGAAACCTGTATTTTGTTAGACTAGCTCTAATCTTAGTTTCTAATGTATACTTACTCATTTTAGTATCTTCGTTCTTTTGTTTGTCATAGGCATGTGCACTTGCCAGAGAGAGAGAGAGACAGGGAGAGAGAGAGAGATAGTGGGAGGGAAAATGAGAAATCACCCCCGGAGGGGAATGGCTACCCCACAATCCCTTCTCCTCCTGGGATTTTGGGCATGCATGCACACATGCCCAGTGCTATTTTTAAGTCAGCAGATCAAGACCTCAAATTGTGGTCGACCATGTGGGAGTTCAGCACCTCAACCACTATAACACCTGTTGGCCCAGTATGTTTGTTCTCTGCTGCTAAGTTCTGAGAGAATTCCTCAAGATTTCTCTCCACAGGATCTAAGTGATAACTTGTGGTGACGCTCCTGCTTTCTCAGTTATCTCAGTCAGCTTCAACTATGCAGTATTGTTGTTCTTTTTTTGGAGAGGATTTTTTCTGCTCTAGGGCACGTATGCTCCCCAGAAAGACAGAGAGACAGAAAGTGAAAAATCACCCCCCAGGGGGGATGGCCACACCGCAATCCCTTCTCCTTTCTCCTGTCGGGATCTTGGGCATGCACGCACATGTGCCTGGCGTGAGTTTAAGTCACCAGGTCTGGGACTTGAACTGCAGTCAACTACATGGGAGTCCAGCAACATAGCCATCATGCCAACTGCTGGTCCCATCACGAGGAAATTTTCTAAATGCAGCCAGATCCTTTTGTGTCTCTTATCATGGCAGGTCATTTCTTTCTGTTATATACAGGCTGTGCTCTCTTGAACATCTTCCAAAATTTTCTTCTGTCTCTTAGACAAAACTATTTTGAGTGACAAGTTTTTCTAAGCTTTAAAAGTAAAGGCTTCTTTTCCTGGATTGTAAACACTTTGTCAGAATCTCATGACCTCTTTTTGGCTCCATTGACTCACTCTTCAATAAAACTTTTTCATTTTTCAGCAGGTGTCCTTGACCTCTTTCAGTGTCCTCTTCGTCTGGCATCTTGCTCTGAAAGGCACTTCTGTGTTCCAAGCCCTTAGCTCTTTCTGTCAAGAACTTGGGCTTATACTGAGGCTGACCTTGGGCTTGTCTCAGCGCTGGTATTTTTGGCTTGGCAAGTGGATCATAATCCATCAACAGTTTTGCCTTGTAAGTGAGGAATGAGTAAGACTCTAAGTCACGATAAGGTCACTGGTGCCTTTGTTTCTACTTCGAATGACTTTCCTTTACATTACTCAACAGTCCCGTATGCAGCGTGTACAACCATCTGGGTCCACCTCCTGTCACATGGTCTACTGGGAGTTTAATCTCGGAATGGCTTGAATATAAAGGTTCTGATGGAGGAATAGCTGAGAAGAGGGCAAGATTTTAGGTTGAATAACTCATTGTTCTATTACTGTTGAGCCAAGTCATTTTTCATGGTTAGTGTATGAGCCCTATGGCAGAAACAGACAAAAATTCTCCTAAATTAGATTTGTCTAAAATTTTCTTTTTTCTTCTTCTTCTTGTCATCGGGCATGTACACTCACTAAAGAGAGACAGAGAGAGGGGGAAAATAAGAAATCATTCCCCCAGTGGGGATGGCCATGTTGTAACCTCTTCTTCATTCTCTTAAGATTTGGGGCACACAGGGACAAGCACCCAGTATCATTTCTAAGCCGGTGGAGCCAGAACTGAAACTGGAGTCAGCCACGATAGATCCAGCACCTTAAACACCATGCCACCTGTTGACACCTAGTGGTTTTTTTGTTTGTTTGTTTGTTTTTTTAATGTCACAAAATGGGAGAGGACTCCTTGAGCATATGGATGTCTTTGCTTGCATCTGGCATTTTCTACACATTTCTCAGTTTGCACATGACATCTCATTTGGTTTGAATCCATTCTGCAGTTTGGCTTTTGAATTCTTGGTTCCTGCAAACAATTATAGCTCCAAAGGTGATTAGTGTCAATGTCAATCAACAGTTTGTAAAAGGGTAGTTACGTTTCTGTTTTACTGCAGGGTTTTTTGAAGGGGTTTTTCTCAGTGGAGTTTTCTGAATGTTCATGTTAACAGAGTCATATAGGTAGGAATATCAACATGGGAATCATTACAACAATTTAGAAAAGTTTCTAAGAGGTCACATTAAGACAGAGGTAGCATGGGAGTTGGAGAACAGGGGAGGTAAGAGACTTGAGAAACACTCAACTCTTAAAACCAACAATAAATTTGAT